GAGGTTACTGGATTAGAACTCATCGACTCTAAGCCCTCGACCACGGAGGCGGTCCATTAACGAAAAGAGGTCAAACGAAAAGAGGTCAAAAATACAAGAATAGCCCCTACTGTGTTAGTAACGCATTAGAAATATGATAATACTGCTAAATCAATCAATAATCGAATATAACATGTATATTGTTACTTGAATCATGTCATAAGTCATTGTTCTCAAGTTTCTTGAAATACAGTGGCTCATATTGGAAGGATGCAGCTTTAAGGAATGTTGATAGCAACAGATGACCGTTACAAAATACATTTAAGTCATGTATACCACTGTAAATATGCTTTAAACTATCTGTCAGTTGTTTTAAATTTTCCTATTGATGGATATGTTTTTTGAACATTAGGTTTTAGTTATTTTTTGTGTATCACGTGCGTAACGTTCAAAATGGCCGCTAAAATGATGCAAGGGTAAATGTTTGCGTTTTTGCAGACTGATTTACATTCTGAGTTTGCGAAATAATATTATTTTTATAGATTTATTATAACACTATTGCCTCAATTTAATAAGGCAGTGCTTTATGTGTCTTATTTCTAGTGATGACAACACAAATGTCTTCAAATTTTAACATAAACAAGAGCTGTCGGTAGAAAAGCACGCTCGACTATTCGAAGTGCTTGATAGTAAAAGAGCCTTGATAATGTTAATTTTTTTAAGATCACAAAAGGTCTAATTTTTTATAATAAATTCATGTTATAGGCCTTAGAGAGAGTCTAATTATACAGTATTGGCTTGACTATTCGGAAGGTAATGTCACAAGGTTGTTTTATTGAGTATAATAATACTAATTTCCTATGAATACATAAATTTGACAGAAAAGGTACGAAGGCTTCTAATTAAGATGTTTTATCAAGTAAATCACTGCTTTATTATTTTGAATGCATAAAATTGTCCCAAAATAAGGCACAAACCCTTTAGTAGTAATTGAGATAACAGCTTACAAGCAAAACTTTACCATGAATTTCTAAGTTGAAAAAGGGGAGAAAAATCAGCCTAAATGCAAGATAGAATTATGGATCTTTGTCAGTGACCTACAATTATGACCCTAAATGCATATGTGAAGTTTTAAATAAATATCTTTAATAGTTATTGAGATATGTAAAACTTGCATGTAAACATTAACCAAGAGACTTAAAGTAGAAAAGGGGATATGAATCAGCCTTAATGCAAGATAGAGTTATGGAACTTGGTCAGTGACATACAATTATGACCCTCCAATTATGACCCTAAGTGCATGTGTAAAGTTTCAAGTAAATATCTTTGAAGACCTTTAACCTTTAACCAAAATTACTAAGTTTCAAAGGGGCAAATAATTCTTCAAATTTTGCAGGCAGAGTTATGCAATTTTGCAAACTGATGTACATTGTTACTATAAAAAAGTATTTTAAATTTCAATTGAATATCTCAAGCAATAATTGAGATATTTGACTTTACAAAAAACTTTAACCAAAATTTCTAAGTTACAAAGGGGCATAATTCTGTCAATATTCTAGGCAGAGTTATCTAACTTGTCAATCTGATATACCTTGTTACTATAAATAAGTATTGTAAGTTTCAATTGAATGTCTAAAGTAATTATTGTGATATATGACTTTACAAAAAACTTTAACCAAAATTTCTAAGTTAAAAAGGGGCACAATTCTGTCAATATTGTAGGCAGAGTTATCCAACTTGTCAATCTGATGTACCTTGTTACTATAAATAAGTATTGTAAGTTTCAATTGAATATCTCAAGTAATGATTGAGATATTTGACTTTACAATAAACTTTAACCAACGCAGACGCTGACGCTGACGCCGACGCCGACGCCGGGGCGACTACAATAGCTCTCATATTCTTCGAATAGTCGAGCTAAAAGTTAATCAAACTTTATATCATCATTTATTTTCAAAAACATTTTTTTATTAAAAACAATGACAATGTTGTTGTCAAACAAGATATTAATTAAATGAACAAAGCCACATATGAGAAATTTTATTTTATGACAAAATAATCAAGACATTGACTGGTTTATACACCAACAATCATAAAATACACAATGTCACTCCATTCACTTATTCATTCATTTATAAATACTCAATGAATCCATTCTTTATCTCATTACAGTGTGTGTACTATTAAAGATATTGAATGAGTGTAGGTTCACTACTGTATTTATTGAACAGGTTGAATAGAATGTATATTATGGGAGTCTCTGGAGGGCATTATTTTATTCACTCTTTTAATAAATTTAGTAATGAAGCTACACAAATATTAAAAGTTATCGATCACATACCCAAAATACTGTTTACAGTCAACAAGATTTTTTTTATTGACACACTCCTACTGTAACACTGACATTTTGCTGTCTTTACATTATGCTTCTATGACTGTGTTTGTATAGTGCAAACGTCATAAATTCAAAAAGTGCATGGCTGTTCAATACCAGATTTACTAAAGTCAAAAAAGCTGCGCAGGTATCTTATAACTATGTTTTACATATAAAATTCATCTTTCAACACTATTTCAGCCCAATACTTCCAAAAGATTAACATAACTATCAGTCCTGAATATGTGTCCTGGTAAAACTATGAATATCTAAGACACTAAATAATCGTGAATACTAACAGTTTGATTTCTCCGTAAAAAAACAAATATAGAATATACTAAGTCTTTATTCAGATCTTTACATTAATAAATGTTCCTTCAAGGGTGTAGCATGAACATTGATGATTTTGTAACGGCCAATCTAGCTAGAAGTCCTTGTTCGAGCCAATATAAGAAGCCAAACTGGCTTGCAAAGAGTCATTCCCTACACAGACCAACTTTAAAAGCCAAAATAACTCAGCATAAAATATTGTCAGGTGTCCGAAATTTTTCCCTGTCCTACAGTCAACACTGTCTTAATTAAGTGACAAAGTCTCTTCAGATGTTCGTTAAAAAGGAAAACAAATGGATGTTTTAAACATCAAATAGAATTTAATTCATCTGCCAAATATTTTTTCAACATAGAATTCTTGAATATTTATTTTTAAAAATAAAGTGTATCAAACTAACACTGAGAAAATGCTTAGGGTAACGAATCATGACTACCCATGGATACAGAAAATGAAAATATACACAAAAAAAACAAGTTGATGAGCTTTTATATTTTAGTGTCAACAATGAAATTCAAATACATATACATTTATTCTACAAAAAGAAAGTTAAACCATTAAAAGAACATATTTGAAAAATCATTTTGCTTACATTTACTTTATAAAATTAGTATCAAGAGAAAAATGTTTCTTGTCATAAGTACAGAAGAAATTCTATTCTTATCAAATATGAATATATATATATATATATAAGTAAAATCTCTAACTTGCCGTATATATATAAAAATTTGCCTCATCCAAAACAAATCAAATTAAATAAACATGACAATGCCATGTATTCAGGTTTTCAAATGGAAATCATTTTCTATTTTAAGTAACATTGACCTTTACCCTAGGGTCAAAAATAAGCAATTCCAAGTGAGGTCTGCACATAAGATTGTTACTTAAGTTTTATTACGATATATCTCATTTTAAACTCTAATTATTGACTGGAAACCACCTGTCCGTCCAAACGCCAGGCTGCTCGCCATGTGCCACTCAAAATTGAAAGCCTGAGCTTTGATACAAGTAAAGACAATGTTTATAGGTACATACATATGTCCTTATTGTGAAACTTCAATAGAGGACAAGTTCCATTTTATGTTAATCTGTCCTCTATATAATGATATACGCTGCCAATATATTTCGGAAAATTACAGAATGCTACCAACACTTGCTAAATTTTATTCATTAATGTTTAACGAAAATGAAATTAGAAACACTGCAATGTATTTGTTCTATGCATTAGATAAAAGACAAGGTTTCTTAGATATTTTTCAATGAATACTGAAATACTGTAAGTTTTGTATTTAATCATGTCTGTATCACTCACTGTTTATGTATGTATATTATATATATGTTGTAAATGTTTATGGGCCGGAGGCCTAAAGACTTATCAATAAAATCTTAAATCTCATACATCTTGAAACATCTTATGATATCATTAGTTAGTATGTCATATATATTAAAATACATAATGTCTACCTGTATCTATTTGTTCCCCTATAACAATATTAAATGTAATGTCATCTTTTTAATATGGAACATGGTCGTTATTATAAACGTTCACATCAAGGAAAAGAAAAAACCGACAGAAAAAAGTAGGAGAAAATAATATGGCTTATTTCCTATTGGCAACAATGCCTTATCTATTTCAGTAGAGTAACAATGTAAAGGGAGGTAATCAAGATGAAATTTTTACATCATTTTTCTTATTTCGGTCAATTATCGCCAACTTTGTTACATTTAAAGTGTAATATTATATGTCATTTATTATTATAACACAAAAACTGTAATTTTGTTGGTTGCAATAATGACTAAAAGAAATGTGAGATTTTATAAATCCTAAAGGAAATGGCATAAACAAGCAGGGAACTTAGTCTTAAAATAATAAAAATAAATTAATACATATACTTATAAGAAACTTGAGTTTTTTCACTTAAAGAAAAAAACAAAACAAAAAAACCTGTCTTGTATGGTAAACAATAACTGCTAAGACTTTCTGTTATCATCTGATAATTCAACATGGCTGTAAAATAAAGTCTTTGTTGCTAATAAAATAGCCATTCAACATCCATTAACAAACTGACTGTCAAAAAAGATGGTAACTAAATTTTTTAAATGTTGAAAGATTGCGAAGAAAAAACACAGACTAATGTGTTAACCTTACACTATTATAATTTTGTTTTCACCTCCTAGGAACAGGAATGGTAGAATATCATTAAATCACATTTTTGTACAATGGTTTTTTTTTTATTTTCAATAATGACAACAACTTATTTAAATAGCATGCTTCTATATGCTAAAACATTTCTCTCACGAATGAAACAAAAGCAGTCCTTCATGAATATATAAACAGGACAGCTCATTTTACTGAACCATCAGTCTGTCCAACTCTTTCTCTTTGAGAAAAAAACAAACAAGTCCCAACTTCTCATATATGGAAAAACGAAAACTACCCGGCTCCTCATAATGTTATAAATAACATCTCTCTCAATCCACTGTTCCATTCAGAGGGAAGTCTTCAACAATGATAAGTTCATGAGAAATTGTTTATGTTTGCTGTCTCTTTGCCTTTATCGTCAGCATTTTCTGATGATTCTGTATCTTCTGCCTTTACAGCCGGTTTATCCCAGCCTTCCAGACCTTTAGGTAAAGTTGTATCTTCTTCAAATGAACCTGCAATAAAATTGACACTATTATTAGTTTAAACATATTTTACTCCAAACATTTTCACAAAAACATATTTGGTTGATACAGAATTTATTTTAGTTTGATTGTGTAGGAAGCTTTAGGCTTATAGACACACTTTCCTAACTTTTGTGTAAAGTTTCTTGCTCAAGGAAACAACAACTTGCCCCTGACGGGGTTTGAACTCATGCGGCTAGCGACCATTAGATTACTATTTCGACGTGTTAACCACTCGGCCATGCCGCCACACATATTTTACATACAATCATTACTTACATAATATACAATGATGAAAAAAGGATCAGATCAGAAAGCATACAATATTATAAAGGTATTTTCCTAACATAAAATTCATTACTGTAAATTTGGCGTTAAATTTCATGTTCGAAATATTATATTATGAAAAACATTTTATTGATAATGAATTTAGAAAGATGAGGGAGGCAAATGTGCACCTACTGTTTAGAAGAAACAAAAATCATTAACAGGTTTAAACATGTTTTTTATTCAAGGTCCATATCTCAGACAAAAAAAGCCGATGACATGTTCAACTAGACTTGGTACTAATCATTCCTGTCAAGTTTGGCTGAAATTGCACTAGTTGTTTTTGAGGAGAAGTCCGGACAAGTTTTGTGACGGATGGACAGACCAGAGAGAAGTGGTCTCTGTATGTTGCCACAACTCTGTAGAGGCGACACAAAAATACAGTTCTAAACTCCAAATAGGAGAATTAATTATTAAATAAGTAAATTTCTTGTAACTAGAGTCAATTCTCTGCTTAAGGCTTACATTTTTTTTTTTACATATATTTTAACAAACCTGTGCCCTCAACAAACTCCTCATATGTTGTTTTTTCAGCAAATGGACGTGGGCCAATCAATTCCACAACACTCTGTTTATCTATCTTTTCATTCTCTAACAATGACTGGGCAACCTAAAATAAAAATGAAAAAAATGCCTTAAAATGTTTAAGTGAAATAACAAATTTAAACTAATATTTTCTTTACCCATTATCAAAATTATTATAAGTAAATTCAACAACAACAAGAGGGCCATGATGGTCCCACATCACTTACCAGAGATAAATTGCTAATAAATAAGCTGAAATAAGTCATAAGGTCACATTTGGTGCTTGTCAGTTTTGACTGCAGCTGAATAATTTATATATATTTGTGAAGGTCTGGAAGAAAATGCTTTATGCAAATAAATAAGTTCTGGACATTTTAGTTTTGCACAAGAAGACTTCAGTAAGTCTATTTAAAATTAAAATAAAGTAAACCCGTTGGCGGGGCCAATTTTGATTTATATAACTTTTGTAGAGACCTGCAAAGTGAATCTTTATGCCAAACATCTACTTTATTGGCAATGAAGTTTTAGAGGAAAATTTAACATAAATGACCGAAGGGCTTGGCCATTTTTTACACAAAGGGCATGATTAACACAAAAAAGGTTATGTAACATGCTAAATATTTCAGCTTTGTGCATCGTAGTTTCACACAAAAAAGCCTTAATATTTTTCTTATGTATGTCTGCCTCTGAGATAGGGCATGGTTTTAGAAATTTTGTAGAGGACAAAAAAAGGTGATGCCATATGCCAGATATGTAACCAATGAGCATTGTAGTCTCTGAAGAGAAGATTTTAAGGTTTAAGATTTCATTTTCACTCTATTTTTAGCTCTTGTGACCTACATATGCAACAGACTAGACATATTTAAATTACTTTTGTAGAGGGTCACCTAAGGATCACTCTGATTAGGGAGACATGTTGTCTAAAGAAATTTCAATAACACAACAACAAAAAAATTGTACCTTTTCTACATCTGCTTTATGTTTCAATACCAGTTCTTTTGTTCTCTTATAAGCATTGCTCACTATTTCTCTGACCTCATGATCAATTAATTGTGCTGTTTCCTCGCTGTATGGTTTATCAACATTAAACCCTGACTCTTCTCTTGGAGGAAAGGATAATTGGCCTACCTTTTCATTCATACCAAACTGTACAACCTGTACCAGAAATATATGTAATGATGGAAATTCAATTTATTTTCAACATTTTCTCTAAAATTTGTTAATTTATTGTGCGCATGTTACAATAAGAATATCTGTGATAAATGTATTTACTCACACTTCTGCATTGACACAATATAATATTGCCATAACAAGGAAGAGATGCCAGTATTAACACCAGCTATATTCCCTGCCACAGCTGACATTGTAGATATTTTTTAACCTTTGACCTTAGATGTAAAACCTATTTGTTGCACTATGCACATTGTAAGCACATCATATCATGGTGATGATTATTAGGTCCCAGTGAATATAAAATCTTCCCAAAAATCAAAATGTTATAAGTCAGAACATTTGACCTCAGCATGTGACCTTGACGGTATTAACATTGATGTTGTGTTTTGCAAATCCTCTCAAAGGGTAACTATATATGCAAAAGCAAGTACACACAAATTATTTAAAAGATATTGATGTCATTAAATAAAGGCCATCTGACAAAAAGTAGACCTCGCCTCCCATTTTTTAAAGTATCATTGACAACGACCCCATTGACCACTAATAATCTTCCAATAACCAAAATTGATATCAATTAAACGTAACATGCTTACCTGAGCATAAGCACTTTTTGTTACCATTCTAAGATCACTTTCTGCACCTGTTGTTATCTTATTAAAGAAGATTTCTTCAGCTACTCTACCACCAAGTGCTACACACATTTCATCTAACATCTATGAATAGTAAAGAAAATCATTCTGATTACATTGAAATATTTCATCTATGTCTATGTTTGTTTTTCTGATTTTTACACAAATTTTAATACATTAAGGACAAATCTTGGTGGTTGATCCACCTTACCGGATTTCCTGGATAATTAACCAGTACTTAACAATGTCTATGCTAGTGCTAGATTCTATGTCCAAGAGTAATTGTCACAAGATATTTTGCCTCACCCGAGGATCAAACTATCGGCTCCTGAAGTACTAATCTGAGACTCTCCTTATTGAACTAAATCTGAATTTTGACATAGGTACGCAAAATACTAATAATTTCAGAAACAGGTGTTATCCTTTGAGAAATATAGAAGCTGTACATATAAGAATATTTCTATGTATATATTAATTGCATATGATAACAAAGAAAATTTCTACATATATATAAATTACATATGATAACAAACATCAAACAGCTACAATTTTGCCAAAAAGAAAAAAAAATGAGTTCATTCAAAATAGAGTGATACATGCCTGCTCTTTGGTACATAAAGTTTTCTCCTGTGGAAGATACATAGCATAACCTAGAGATTCTCCACGAGGAATAATTGACACCTGAAATAACAATATAACTCTTGTAACAGATATTAAAATACTTATTCTTAATATGTCTTTATTTATCTGACTACAAATAATAAAATTTCTGAACATTATCAGCATGGTTTACGAAACACTTGCTGTGAATATTCAGCCCTTTTTTATTTAATTTTTTGGAATATTAAAAGTTAAGACTTATTTTTTGTTACATGACTTAAAATTAAACCCGTATGTAACAGGTAATTGTCAATCTTGCTTCATCCCATGCTGAGAATATATGCAACTTTTAATGTCACATAGTTCTGAGTTGATCCAACTTTCTTACAATTTTCCTAGCATGAAATAATTCAAAATCATCAGCGGAATTTATTCTACTGAATAAAGTGGCAAGATAGTTGAAGTCATATCTACTTAGCCATGAAGTCCTGTACAAGTTATAAGAACCAGGATTTACATTTTTATTTTATTTCAGTAAATGATTTGTATGCCTCTCTTCATCTGCAAGTGTTTAATCTTTTCTGTGACTTTATATTATAAATCTACATATATTCAGACAAGTAAAGGATTCCAAGGTAACCTGTTTTTATCAACATATAAGCTCCATGCAACAATGTCTCTTTGTTCTCTACTCTTTCAATGAAGTGAAAGTTAACTTTTTTATGTTTATACAAAGTCTTCCATATTTTCAAAGAATCATCAAACCCCACCTTTTCTAATCAAGAAGCAAATTCCTTTCATATTTCTTGATAAATGACCAGTTTCTTTACTCAAGAAAGGGAAATTATAAAAAAAATGACTTTTAAATTGTGCTAAGGTGAGCTAAAACAAAAAACTTCAACAAACTGAATGTCTCTATCAATTTAAACATTGTTATCTTCAACAGATGTTATACCTTTAGTAATGGCCTGGCATGTTCAAGGAACCATGACACTACAGCATGACCAGCCTCGTGAAACGCTATGGTTTTCTTCTCTGATGGAGCTAATACTTTAGTCTTCTTTTCTAAACCTGTAATAGAAGAAATGTATTTAAGTTAAAGCATCTTAACCTATAATAGCAAAATTGTATTTTAGAAAAGTATCTCAACCTGTGACAGTACAATTTTATTTTAGTAAAAGTATTAAAAGTATCATAAACAGCAACTAGAAATGTGTCCATAGGACACGGGTGCCCCCACCGCGCCACTGTTCAGTCAATCTTTTTACTAAGTCAAGGGAAATAACTCTACAAATACTGGATAAATCCACAAGCGAAACCCCAGGTGCAAATCTAAATATGCTGAGCAACCTGCCCATTAGGTTTAATGACTATGTCAAATCCTTTTTGAGTAGCATGCGACACAAGTTGAAAATTGCAAAAAAATTCTAAGTGAAGGGCAATAACTCTAAAAATACTAAATAAATCCAGACAAAAATACCTGGTGCACAACTGCACGTGCTGATCAATATTCCTGTAAAGTTACATGACTCTAGGTCAAATACTTTTTGAGTTACATGCAGGGCTCGACACTAACGATGGTCCGTTAGCCCGAGGCTACCAATTTTCCCCAAGGACTACCCGAGTTTCCAAGCTGGGTATCCCGTCGGGCTACTCAAAATTTCAGTGACCTGATGTCTCTAAATTCACTAAAAATAATTACTAAAATAACATTTTTTAGGCTATGGTTCAAAACGAAAGATAAATTCATCTTACTAGTAAATAATTAGCTAGTGTCAGTCACAGCAGACGCATAATAGATTCTATTTAATCTCTATAAAGTTGCGAAAAGTGAAACCGGAAATCCAACTTAATTGCCGATTTTTCCAGCCTACTTCAATAGAATTCTTTGTCTATTAAACATTTCAATGAAAATATTTGCTTATATTGGAACCTATTCAAGGGTTTTAACTTAAAAGAATATGATTTGTTGATTGGTGTAAATCACACTGACAATGATAACCAAAATAAACGTGTTGTCTGAAATAGATCTAATTTCGGATGTAATTTATTCGGACATGAAATTATTGATTGGGAAAAAAATCTCTTTATAAAAAAGAGAAGAAAAATGTTTAAATCTCTTTAAAAAAGAGAAAAGAAATATTCTAAAGTATTTGTAATTGTCTTTACCATAACTTCACAATGTTGTCAGCATTTCTTAATCATGTACAAGCAAATGTAAGCAATAATGCCAATACATGTATATGAAGAAAACAATTGTTAACAAATACTAATACCCTAGGCATAAAAAACTAAGGCAATATAGTTTGATTAAATGGCTTTACATTTCTAATTTTGTGTTTAAATCAGGAACAACAGATATTAATCTAATGTCCCTATTTAAATCTTCTGACAGTTAAATAACTGAATTACTAGCACTAGTAAAAGTTTGTTATTCTGATATTTTGTTGTTTTATGTCTGACAAAATAAGTTTGTAGAATAAATCAATTAGAGTAAAGACAAACATATTTTGTTCTTGTCCAAGCTTTTTACTTCTGTTTTGAATTTAAAAACACATCTAAAAGGTCATACATTATCTATACCTGAAAAGTAGATTTGTAAGCTCTTTTGAAATATTTTTTTTATACAAAAGCCAGGTATTACATAAATTTAAAATTGACATACTTATTTAGCTCATATTGCCAATATATTCTCCCCTTCCCTATAAGCTGTCAATAATATAAGCTGAGCTGATTGCCTCTAGCAATTTTATTTGCAACACACCTTAGTAATTCCTTAGTAGAACCCTTTCAAAACCTATTGACTTTTGTGTGTCACACTGCCATATTTTATAACAAAAATATGTAAAAAAATTGTTGATGATGACTTTGAAGAGCTCAGAGGCTAGCCAAAACCTACATCTCATGCAGAGTAAAGCTTACAAACTTTTACTAGATCTTATATGATCTATCTATTGGTGATTTTTTCCAATAAATTTGAAGAGATCTCATGCAATTGTTTTCTTATCTTCAGATACATACACTCAAGATGCATTTAAATAGAATAAGAAACATTTTTTATGTTTAAAAATGAGGACTACCTAGATTTGCCAAGGACTACCTGATCCTCAAAGTAGGTAGTCCTTCTGACTACCCCTAAAAAAAGTTAGTGTCAAGCCCTGTACATGCGACACAAGTTGAAAATTGCAAAATTTTACTAAGTCAAGGGCAATAACTCTGAAAATACTAAAAATATCCAGAAGAAAATACCAAGGTGCACAACTAAACATAATGATCAACACTCCTGTAAAGTTTCATGACTCTAGGTCAAATACTTTTTGAGTTACGTGCGACACAAGTTGAAAATTGCAAAATTTTACTAAGTCAAGGGCAATAACTCTGAAAATACTAAAAATATCCAGACGAAAATACCCAGGTGCACAACTACACATAATGATCAACATTCCTGTAAAGTTTCATGACTCTAGGTCAAATACTTTTTGAGTTACGTGCGACACAAGTTGAAAATTGCAAAATTTTACTAAGTCAAGGGCAATAACTCTGAAAATACTAAAAATATCCAGACGAAAATACCCAGGTGCACAACTACACATAATGATCAACATTCCTGTAAAGTTTCATGACTCTAGGTCAAATACTTTTTGAGTTACGTGCGACACAAGTTGAAAATTGCAAAATTTTACTAAGTCAAGGGCAATAACTCTGAAAATACTAAAAATATCCAGACGAAAATACCCAGGTGCACAACTACACATGCTGATCAACATTCCTGTAAAGTTTCATGACTCTAGGTCAAATACTTTTTGAGTTACATGCGACACAAGTTGAAAATTGCAAAATTTACTAAGTCAAGGGCAATAACTCTTAAAATACTAAAAATATCCAGACGAAAATACCCAGGTGCACAACTACACATGCTGATCAACATTCATGTAAAGTTTCATGACTCTAGGTCAAATACTTTTTGAGTTACATGCGACACAAGTTGAAAATTGCAAAATTTTACTAAGTCAAGGGCAATAACTCTGAAAATACTTAAAATATCCAGACGAAAATACCCAGGTGCACAACTACACATGCTGATCAACATTCCTGTAAAGTTTCATGACTCTAGATCAAATACTTTTTGAGTTACGTGCGACACAAAAGTGAAGGGACGGACGGACGGACGGAAGGACGGACGGAAGGACGGACGTTCTCACAGGACAGTAATTATGTGGCTACTCTATTGTTCTCTCTATTGTTCTTTTAGCCACGCAAAAGAAAATAGCCACATAAAAGCATTACGGAATGAATGACATCAAAGAGAACCTATTGTCCCTCTAGCCACATAATTACTCTCCTGTGAGTGCGGACGGACAGACGGACGGACGGACAAGGGTAAATCTAAATGCCCGCCACTATCGTGGGGGCACAATAAAAGTATATTAAACAAGTATTTACTAACATATGACAGGCGATTAGTAATTTTGAAGAACTGCTTATACCTGTATCAGTAAAATTATAATTCTTTTAAGGTTCAGTTTAAAATATCCAACATAATATGAAAGATCAATTAATCATCAACAGAGCTTTATGGGGATCAGCTTGTTAATAGATAAATACTAGAAGCGTAACAATGGTCTAAATGCATGGATCGGCAGTGCTGTCTGACTGAATACTGATGTAGACAAATCATTACTGCAACCAGATTAAATGGGTTCACATGGCAGGTATCGAAAAATGTTTTCAGAGTCACCTGTCCAGCAGGATGAATAGCTTCTTAATCCAATGTACAGGCAACATTTTTCTACTCTTCCTGCATCAAATTCTCTTAAATTCAACTTGTAATAACGAGGGGATGAGTGGAATTTTTGATCTCTGCATGGCATAGGCATTGCACTATCAGTCTGAACATTCAATGGATTATTTGAGATGCGCCAGGACAAAACCCACACAGTGCATTTGCGACCAGCATGGATCAAGACCAGCCTGCGCATACGTGCAGTCTGATCAGGATCCATGCTATTTGCTATTAGTTTCTCTACTTGTAATAGGGTTTGTACTTGTAATAGGGTGTGTAAGCGAACAGCAGGCTGGTCTGGATCCATGCTGGTCGCAAACGCATTATGTTGGTTTTGTCATGGCGCGGCTCATTTAATATTTTACATTACCTCCGACAACTCTTTCTATAGCTTTCTCGAAGTCTAACCATTCTACCTCTGTTTTGCTATCACGTGCAGCTATCAAGGCAGCCTCATTACAAACATTCATAACATCTGCACCTGATCACAACAACATACAGCATTAAACAAGTATTACTACCAAAAGTAAGTTAAAAATCTACAAGAATTGTAAATAATAATTATCCACCATACTCTTATACACTTTCAATTTCTTACTTATAATTATTCATTCCCCCCCCCCTCCCCATTAGATAATTTAAAATAGTAAACAAGACCTTTTCACAGACAGCAGGGTCCACTTTTGCTGCATACAAAGTAAAATAGAAAAAAACATAAGGATATAATTGTGAAAGTTTTAATTTTGTGTAATTTAGTATAAGAATATATTTAACATATGCACTTATTCATTAACTGTTAAATATTATTATTGTTATTAAGATTATACATACATATACTGTAAATGTAAATTGATGTACTACAATCGGCATGCCTGTATAAAAACACAGGGATAGCAACAAGTACTGATTTTGGTACCAGAGTATTCCACACTTTCTTTAAAGTTTGCTAGAAAACAGATAAACATTGTCATATACTTACCAGAAAAACCAGGTGTTAAAGAAGCCATCCTTCTAGCTAAATCATCTTTATCAATTGATATTTTTAATTTCTTTAAATGCACTTTAAATATTGACGCTCTGAAAATGTATAAGATAATATAAATATATATTTTTTTATATATTAGATCCACACATGGAAAAAACATTCTTTTTACTTTAAGAAAAGAAAAATATTTGTGTAATGTCAGCACAGATAAGGATACTATTTAAATGATAGATTAAATTCAAAGCTCTTTTACTTTACACTACATCAACTACACTAATGATAGGGCAACATAGAGTACGACCTATGAGAGATCATTAGACTTCCTGCAATGCTTTCCCACCGAAAGAAAAATTCTAACATTGGCCAATATTGTAATAAATTGGTCATTTCTGGAGCGCTATTTTTCACAATTTTTGGTATTCAATAATTTTTAACTATTTATAATCAAATTTTAGTACATAGCAATAAAGGATAAGTGATTATAAAAAATCTTATGCCCAAGATTTTGGAAATAATGTACTGGAAATAATCAATTTGTTATCATACTGGTCAAATGTTTTGGGGCGGGAACGCATTACAGTAAGACTACCTTAATAAAACCATCTTTAACATTTTTCTAAAAGTGCACATAATGAGTGTTGATTACAGTAATTTTGTGAAACTCTGTCAAGACAACAACAATAAAGATAATTATGATAACTGGCGATAGTTCTTTAAATTTGTTTGTTTGTCTGGTTTTTATGCCAATGTCAACACAATTTTGGTCTTATTTCTGAATAACTTGCAGAGACAAATGACCATAACACTCAATGTTCGAGGTCAATTGTCATAAAGAAATTCACCTTACGCAAGGATAAAACACAAACTGAAGTAAAGATCTGCACTTAAATTTGAGCTAAGCCGATGGATAAATATACAAAATAGTTAACTCCTCTACTAATAGCTTTACACCCTGTGGATAAGCTAACCACATAACTACAAGGACAAATCCTTTATAAATAATAAAACAGTTCCTTTAATATTTCATCATGACAATGAAAGGAATTCTATGGGAGATAAATCACCAGTCACAATTACCTCCCTTTAATATCTGGTGCTGATATATAAATTTGTCTATCAAATCTTCCTGGTCTAAGTAAAGCTTTGTCAAGGATATCTACTCTGTTTGTTGCCGCTAACACAACCACACCACCCTCAGTATTGAATCCTGTAAAAAATGCACTTGAAATATAAACTATATAAATAAACTTCAATAAAACTATTAAAATATAACTATTCATGCCATAATTTCCAGACTGCTTTCTGGGACACATTTTCACAGAGACCAGCAAACAAATTGTTTCTTAAATTTGCATAGTGGCATACAACCTAGATTACAAATTTTCACAACAAGGAAATATTATTTTGACTAAAATCAGGTGAAATGTAAAAAAAGGGCCATGATGGCCCTAGATCGCTCACCTGAATTATCAAACTCATCCAAACAATTACCTAGACAAGCATTCTGACCAAGTCTCATGACAGGTGAGTCAAAAATGTGACCACTACAGTGTTAACAAGGATTATCCATATTTGAGCAGTGCGACCTAGTTTTTTACCCAGGTGACACATATTCAAACTTGACCTAGAAATCATCAAAACAAACTTTCAGACCAATTTCCAGGATACTTGGATCAAAATAGTAGCAACTAGAGTGTTAACAAGATTTTTCTATTTTTAGCTCCGGTGACCTAGTTTCACATGCAATTTCGAACTCATCCAAGCAATTACCTAGACAAACATCCTGACCAAGTTTGATGATAATTGAGTCGAAAATGTGACCACTAGAATGTTAACAAGGTTTTTCCATATTTGGGCGGTGTGACCTAGTTTTTCATCCAAGATGACCCATGTTCGATCTTGACTTAGAAATCATCAAAAACAAACTTTCAGACCAATTAACAGAATATTTGGATCACAACAGTAGCCACTAGAGTGTTAACAAGATTTTTTCTATTTTTAGCTCCTGTGACCTAGTTTTTCATCCGAAATGTCCCATGTTCGATTTATTCCCAGCAATGACCTAGACAAGTTTCCTGACCAAGTTTGATGACAATTGAGTCAAAATTGTGACCACTAGAGTGTTAACAAGGTTTTTCTATTTTTAGCTCCTGTGACCTAGTTTTTCATCCGAGATGACCCATGTTCGAACTCATCCGAGCTATCACCTAGAAAAGCATCTTGATCAAGTTTTGATGATGATTGATGCAAAAATGTGACCGCTAAAGTGTTAACAAGGTTTTTCTATTTTTAGCTCTGGTGACCTACTTTTTCATCCGAGATGACCCATGTTCGAACTCATCCAAGCTATCAACTAGATAAGCATCCTGACCAAGTTTGATGATGATTGATGCAAAAATGTGACCACTAGAGTGTTCACAAGGTTTTTCTATTTATAGCTCCGGTGACCTAGTTTTTCATCCGAGATGACCCATATTCGAACTCATCGAGCTATTATCTAAACAAGCATCCTGACAAAGTTTGATGATGATTGGGTCAAAAATGTGACCACTAGAGTGTTCACAAGGTTTTTCTATTTTTTAGCTCCTGTGACCTAGTTTTTCATCAGAGATGACCCATGTTCGAACTCATCCAAGCAATTGACTAGACAAGCATTCTGACCAAGTTTTGATGATGATTGGTTCAAAAATGTGACCACTAGAGTGTTCACAAGGTTTTTCTATTTATAGCTCCTGTGACCTACTTTTTCATCCGAGATGACCCATGTTCGAACTCATCCAAGCTATCACCTAGACAAACATCCTGACCAAGTTTGATGATGATTGGGTCAAAAATGTGACCTCTAGAGTGTTCACAAGGTTTTTCTATTTTTAGCTCTTGTGACCTAGTTTTTCATCCGAGATGACCCATGTTCGAACTCATCCGAGCTTTCAACTAGATAAGCATCCTGACCAAGTTTGATGATGATTGAGGCAAAAATGCGACCGCTAGAGTGTTCACAAGTAATTGTGGACGGCCGGACGGACGACGGACGACGGACGACGGACGACGGACATTCACCGATCCTAAAAGCTCACCCTGAGCAAGCTCAGGTGAGCTAAAAAAAATATTGGCAGTTTATCCATCTTTTTCAAAAGTAATCAGTGTCCTTTAATTCAACCAGTCACAGAATAGGATATGGCTATTATAAGTTTGGACAATGTAACAACAGACAAGCTGACATGGCCATCTCCTGCTGAATATGTTTAATACTAGAAGTTGGAAAAGTAGTGGATAGCAGAATATCTCATTTCAAAAAAGTTTTTTTGGAGGGTAATTGAGACTGACAGAACTAGAACTGCCACTGCCATGGCGTGAATACCTCCGCATACCACTTTGTCAGAATCAGAAGACAGTTGACCAAAGCATTCTTAAGCAATTGAGCAGACAAGCTTTTTTTTTTAGTCAAAGCCCCTGTGACCTTGACCTTTGACCTGGTGACCTCAAAATCAACAGGGATCATCTACTAACCATGATCAATCTAAATACTAAATATCAATACTGTGGGTCAAAGGAATCTTAAGTTATTGGGCGGACAAGCTTTTTTTAGTCAAGGCCCCTGTGACCTTGACCTTTGACCCAGTGACCTCAAAATCAATAGAGGTCATCTACTAACCATGACTAATCTAAATACCAAATATGAAGACTGTGGGTCAAAGGAATCTTAAGTTATTGGGCGGACAAGCTTTAAGAAGTCAAGGCCCGCCCCTGTGACCTTGACCTTTGACCTCAAAATCAATAGGCATCATCTACTAACCATGACCAATCTAAATACCAATTATGAGACTGTGGGTCAAAGGAATCTTAAGTTATCGGGCGGACAAGTTTTTGAAGTCAAGGCCCCTGTGACCTTGACCTTTGACCAAGTGACCTCAAAATCAATAGGGATCATCTACTAACCATGATAAATCTAAATACCAAATATGAAGACTATGGGTCAAAGGAATCTTAAGTTATTGGGCGGACAAGCTTTTAGAAGTCAAGGCCCCTGTGACCTTTACCTTTGACCCAGTGACCTCAAAATCAATAAGGATCATCTACTAACCATGACCAATCTAAATACCAAGTATGAAGACTGTGGGTCAAAGGAATCTTAAGTTATTGGGTGGACAAGGAAAAACCGACAGACAGGCGAAGGGGGCGATGGCTGGACGGGCAAGCTGATTCCAGTATACCCCCCTTACAACTTTGTTGTGCGGGGGCATAATTACAGCCATTTATGTAGAAATGTAGCACATCTGAATTCATTTAATGCTTACCGTCCATCTCGACAAGTAATTGATTTAAGGTGCTCTCTTGTTCACTGTTACCACCAATTCTATCACTCCCTCTCTTTCTACCAACAGCATCTATTTCATCTATAAACAATATACATGGAGCATTTTTCCTTGCTTGAGAAAATAAGTCTCTCACCTGAAAAATAATATTCAAGTTTATAATATTCACAATATTTGTTTGTTTCAGTGTATAAACAAAATGTATTCCACCCAGTAAACACCAGAGATCTGAGTTTGAGCTTAGAAATTTCTTTATATTATAACCTCTCAGAACATGATCAAGGGTTGAAAATTGCACTTGTTCCCTCGCATTGGTGGAATTGGCCAATAGAGGGGTTAAACTTTGCAAATGCTGATCAGAATGGGCAAGTATAAAATTTGAAAGCCATCTTATATGTTTAACTTATCTAGATGTCAGACAGACAGAAGGTAAAACTAGTAGGAAACTTAAGCGTTGTAGTTGGCGCTGACAACGGACGAAAAGAGGGTCACAAAAGCTCATCATTGTTCTCGGGGGATCTTCAAATATAAGTTAAAGTTCTAAAAACAAGACAGTACTTACTCTTGAGGCTCCTACACCAACAAACATTTCCAGGAACTCTGATCCTGACACTGTTATAAATGGAACACCAGCTTCACCAGCAGTGGCCTTGGCTAAAAGTGTTTTTCCTGTCCCTGGGGGACCAGTCAATAGGGCACCTTTAGGTATTTTAGCACCAAGGTCAATATACCGTTTAGGATTTTTAAGAAAATTAACAAACTCCATAATTTCTATTTTCGCCTCTTCACATCCAGCCACATCTCTGCAGACAAAGAAATTTCTCTTGATAATTTTATTTAAGTTAATATGAAAAGGACACCCTTAAACTGCTACAAACTTAGTTTTACCCTATTTGCATTAGAAAATGTGTCTTTAAGGATTTTTTTAATTCTCCAAATAGGTATTGTTTAGCAAATTTTCTATTGTGTGCTTATTTTTCATTTATATAGTATCAAAGTAAAATCACAAACAATAGGCCAATGATGGCCCATATCTAATACATTCTAATACAAAAAAGGCCACAATTCTTTTAATGGAAGTTGGTTATTAGGTCACATTTGGCATGCCATTTTTGACCAATTTTGTATAATTTATCAATCATTTGTAGATGTCCCCCAGCAAATACTAATATCAAATATGCCAAGTATCTACTTTTTACACAAGAAGACAACAATCAGTCTATAATCTAAATGTATGTGCCCCCACCCCCTCTCCCTCACCCACCTGCTTCCCTGGGCAGGGCCAATTTTAATCTACAGGGGCAAAATTAATGCAGGTATAACTTTTTTAGAGAACCACTACAAGGTGATACTACATTAAGTTCTATCACAGACTGGTTTATACCTATGGCCATATACTCCCTCATAAATTAAGGTACCCTAGCCTGATTAAAATTATCACAATGGAAACCAGAGGCAGAATTTTTTTTCTCAAAAATTCTACTTAGATTAACCACAATTAAATGATAAGATTGTGTAGATTCTTACCTGAATTTCACTCCAGTGTCCTCTTTTATAATTTGAGCCGTAGATTTACCGAAGCTAAATAATCCACGAGCTTTATTTGCTCCTCCCCCTCCTCCCATACCACCTTTACCCTGAAATTATAATCACTATGTACAAATATCAGTCACTTAACTGGATATTAAAGGGACTCCACTGAGGTTTAAAACATAACATAAGAATTTCTTACATTAATGAACTGGGGCGCTTTAAACAGAAATATATGCAAAGATAGTTAAGAAATATACTTTAAAATAAATAGAAAATCGTTGTTTTATGCTTTTCTTAGCCTAATTTGAGTGAAAAGCGTTTAAACGCTTTTCATTTTGAGTCATTTTTTTACAATTTGAATAATTATTCTTGAAAAATGAAGTGCGCGAATGATCTGAAAGTTTGCACAAAGATTCGTGGTCTTCACCTACATCAAATGGTACATTTATCTGGAAAAAATTATTTTCAGTCCCATCATGTCAAAAAACCTCAGTGGAGTCCCTTTAACTGAAAACTTTCTTCATATTAACAGGATAAAGGCATCAATTTCAATTAAATACTCCCAGGCTTTATACAATGAATATTCTCAAATATAATATGTAGCAACATCATTTTTTTATATACATGTAATTAAAAGAACTTGTATAAATGAAAACGGACACCTTTAACATTACATTATGACCATCAGAGGGTATTTAGTGAGTGAAGAGGTGAAAGTCAAAATATAAAGTTTACATTTTTCAATAATTCCTTTCAATTTTATAATTTACTTTACATCAATTACAAATAACTTACATGGCCTTAGGAAATTACTATAAATATCTATCGGAAATTACCTGTGATGTTCAAATTATAAACAGGGTGAAGCAGTCTTTTTATATTTTAGCCAGATTAATATTTTATCCTAAACATTTTCCACATCAACTGTTGTTGACCATTAATTATGACAATGACAATGATAACAGTAAATCTTTGGATATATATATATAAATGGTCAATTCAGCTCTAGATGACAATGAAAAAATTACCATTATGTCATTTTATAAAAGGAAAGCAATTTTTCAATCACTTTTAAAGTACAAAAGTTTATTACGGCATATAATAGCAACCTATTGAACTTGATATATCTACAATCTTCATTTATCAATGAGTCAAAGTTACCGTAGATCAAAACAATTGACAAGTGAATTGTAACTACCTGTAAAGAATACAGTAGATATGCTGGTATAGCCAATAGCAGAGCTGTCCTAAGTAAAGCTGATAAAACATCCCTACAAAATAGAAAAAATAACAAGATAGTTTAGTTTATACAAAGTTATTTTAGCTTGATTGCGAAACAAGTTCTTGCAACTTCTATTAACCACTTTCGAGTTCACTTCCTGGAACTAACCAGTACTGAGTGTTGTATCAGAAATCATGATAGTGACCAAAATAGGGCTCAAACCCATGATCCTTGTGTTGAGGGGCACTAACCTTAACCTTTAAGCAACCGCATCCCTAAAAATAATTAAAATACTGATTCTTTAGCAAGTGGTACGCTGTTTTGTAAAGATTCATGATCATCAACTTTAACTTGTCAAATATTGTAGCTTACTGTTCACTATTCATACAAACTATGAAATTCAACATAACAGTGTGTATGTAAAATTGTCCAGTTTTGTGAAAAAAAAATAATAATAATAATATAGCATTTTAAATATTGTTGAAGAAATACAGAGACAAAAAATTATTAGTAACAAATATTTCTTGTCAAATCATTCAATGGGAGGAAAACATCATTTTTTTTCATGACAGGATGCTTAATTTGAACCCTGCTTAGACCTCATCTTTTTTCACATGACATTTGCAGTTAAATCATTATGGCTTTATATTAGATTAAACATGACTGGAGGACATTTTGTTTACAATGTCAATTATATAATATAGACAATAGTTTTTTTATCATTTTTGTAACACGTGTACATTTTTTTTCTATTTAGAACAGGAATTGTTAAAAACAAGAGCCACTTCCAAGCGGAGACCACACTTGACTTTTACGTATTTCTGAATTCTCCTATAAAACATGTTGTTTTTGTAAGAAATAAAATTCAAATTTCATTTTTGACCTTGACGGCATGGGGATCAGACAACATGATAGTAGCAATTCCACGAAATTTTCTTCGAAAAAGTGCAGATAGAAAAGGGGGAATAAAAGTTGCTTACCGTGTGGTTTCTTCTTTGTAATAGACAGGGATGAAATCATGGCGAGGAATATCTAGATCTAGCTGAACTTGCTCTAAGTTTCTCTCAAAATTTTCAACTGAACCAATTGAGAACCATGGTATCTCTAATTGTGCTTGAGACTGAAACATTTTTTATTACAATGTAAAATAATCTGATTTATTACACAGGTATTATACTTATTAATGAAGTATTGAGAAATATTGATGAAATAAAATGCATATTTTCATTTTCCATATTTTCAATTGGAAAAAAAAATTCACTGTAGTAAATGATAATATTTTTCATATTTTCACTGGTGTCTTGCCAGACTTTTTTTTTTTTAAATTCAGCCATTTCTGAAAATTAAAAGGAAGTCTTTCAAAGCGTAAGGTCAAATAAGAGAAAAAAATATAATAAACAGAAAATGGTGGTATGAAAATGATCTTTTATCACTTTGGTGAAATATTTATTTCCATACCACATGATGAAAATAAATCCCATATTAAATGATATTTATAAAAAAAAAATTTTTTGAATATCCTGCCCATACTGTTATGGGAAAACCAATTTTATACTGTACAATATGATTGCATATAAAGATATTTAAAAATTTCATTCATCCTTTTATATTCGTCATTCAATCATTATCTAAATTCCTATTTAAGTGAGTTCTGTTAAATTATTAGTTTGTAAAGATGAAGAAAGTAAGCTCTTTGGGGGGACATTGTGTTCCCTATCTTTAGCATTCATAGTGTTCACAACATATTTCATAAGCAACATATTTCATAAGACTTGTCATTGGAAACAGATATATACCCCATATACTCCGGAAGGTTTGGACGATAATGACAACGATATGATGCACACACAACCATCAATATCCCATTAGTTTTAATATCCAATTATAACGTGCATCATTCTAGCTATCCACCAGGCCTTTGTGCACGAGAACACTTTAAATGGTACAACCAAATAATTCCTTGTTAGTTCATTATCTGTCCATTATGTAATAGAAAGAGCACCGAAACACGAGGTTATCTGATTTGTACTAGGGGGCGTAGCCCCCGAGTATTAATCAGATTACCAAGTGTTTTGGTGTTCTTTCTCTTTTGTATCATAGTCAAACATAAAAACACGTTCCCTGTTGTCACAATATGAAACCCTGGCAAAAATAAACCAATGAACGAACATCTAAATATGATATTTCTGTCGCTTTACCTTTCTCTGCTGTCACAATATGTAAACCCCAGCAAAAATGAGCCAATCAATGGGCATGCTCTGGAGTGCGGGTAACTAATACCTGCACTCCAGTTAACGCACTGTGCATGTATATGTATACGATTTAACCCTGACACATTTTCAACAGAAAGGTCTCCAAACTATGATACAATAATAGAAATGATGACAACACACAGCAATAAAAGCAAGTTATCATTTCATGAATTTTGACATTTGAGTGTGACACAGACTCTTGGCTGCTGAACCGGCTCTTGTTCCCTACACATTGTCTTATTCTTTCCACTTCCGAGACAAAATGCTTTATTTTGATTTTTGAGCCTTAAGTTTTCATACATAAATTTAATATCTTCATAAGCTTATCTAAGATATTAACTCACCTTAAAATAAATTTCCGCCCATTGTTTTTTCCTAACAACTATCTTGCTAACCTGTTAAAAGATACACATTTCATAATCAAAACTTTAATAAGTTATAACAACATCACCCGCCTTATTCCCTTAATTCAGCCTCTCTGGACAACATCACCCGCCTTATTCCCTTAATTTTAGCCTCTCTGGACTTTGCTTACTTTTAAATAAACTTAAGGGGGAGCTATCTTTGCATTCAACAATTTTAATTCACGACAGAAGTTGAATCATGGGTAAATGCCATCATAAGTCTGTTAAATGCCATACTTGAAGAATGCCATACTTAAAAACATGAAAAATAATATGCGTAATGTAACTATGATGTCATTTTCAACGCTTGACATACGCCACACGCTTTCTTCAGTTATTATTACAATATTTATGCAAAGTTCAGTTTTTGTTATTTGTAGATGTGTTTAAACAATTCTTTTTAAATGTTTTTACCAGGCTTTATAAAAATGCTTGAAAATTACATTCCTTGCTTTTTTTTTATATATATATATATATATATATATATGTACATTTTGTATGGGTATTTTAACTTGTCACAGAGTATTTGGACAGCCCTCTGTCCTCATAATATTAACAAAAAATTACAGTTAAATCTCTATCACTGTATATTTTATCCCAGGTAATATGTAACTGAGATATTAATTATGATAAATACTATTAAAGACTTACAGATCCTGCCTGTAAATACTTCTCAACAAACTCTTGCCAAACTATTTCATGGTAATTTTCTTTCATCAAAAAATAAGCCATTGTTCCGACCGCAACAGTTGTTACTAAAAACGTATATTGGTTTTGCTGGGACCCACCACCTCCTTTATCCCCGCCAAAACCCCTGTAAAATATAAAAAAAATATTTAAATATACACATGTTTTACAAATTAAATATCACCCTTAATTTTAACATCAATGCTTTGTTTTTTATTGTTATGATACATAAATAATGTTGTGAATAACAGACATCAATAACTAGGGCTGTGTGACGGTTAGCAAACATGTTTAAAAAATGTATAAATGTTTATATGACGTGAACTTAATAACCTTTTATTGGCCCCACTGGAAGAACTCTTTGATTTTGAACCTTTTATTGATACAAAAATAGCACATTTTGCTACTCAACAACAATTACAAAACATATTGTATTATAGAATAACTGTTGTCTGTTAGGACCGAACAGTGTACAAGAAAAAAATAGCATGCAATCCTGTAAAAAAAAAGATTTAAAAACAAAATGTCATATCTTAAAGGGACAAATATTATTTTTAAAATCAGTCTAAAATTTCAGTTACTGCTTATTGAAATTTCTAACCGGTTTTAGGCTAAAACCAACATAACCCGTTTAAACATGACGCCCCTATCAATAACAATATAATAATGAACAGCTACCAGAACTAGTCAACCTCACATAAAATTGGCAAAGCTGCCACAAAGTTATGGATGGGACAAAAATTTCTAATTGTTGAAATTTGACCTCTATGTGTGACCTTGACCTTGGAGCTAGAGGTCGTGGTCTTGCTCATAACTAACTCTCTCATCATGCTACACATTTATGCCCAGTTCTTTCAAAATCTCTTGAAACATGACAGAGTTACGGACTCAACAATATATGCAAAGTGCTTACCTATGACGTGTAAGTGTGACCTTAACCTTGGAGGCAGGGATCTCTCGTGCATGATACACCATGTTATCATGCTACACATAGGAAAATCCCTTGATTCGTGACCAAGTTATGGGCAGGACATTTTTTTGAACACATAAACTCCCACACAAATGGACAAACAGAGGTCACACTATAAGCCCCCTTGCCGTGATAACATAAAAATCAAATTTATGAGTGTTCTGGCCGTTTTACACTTACCTTCTTAAATAACATGATTATCTTTATGATTGTAAATGTTCAGGATATCGAAACCATATTATATTCTATGTAAAAAGGGGACATAACTAAATACAAGAAAATATGAGTTAAGTCCTTTATAAGAGATGTAACTTATATTCATTAACTGATATGCAAAGAAAGAGTACAATACATAATGATACTTGACAAAATAACCTAAGTAAAAAGAAATAATGCACCTTAAATAAAGACCAACCACAGTGACTACCTAGTCACATTGTCATAATCTACTTTTATTTCCATTTGTCTAGTAAGACACATTATCAATATATAATTTTCAGTATGTAATTAACTCAATATAATTTAGCTTACACATGTACAATGTATCAAACATGAACTTTTGACCTTAATTAACTTTGAAAAATCAGAGACATCAAGTTTTTAAAAATTTAAACTCTAGAAAAAACGAGAAAGACAAATTTGTAACACTTACTTCGTGAAATTAAAATCTATCAATGTCTTTGGCTTCCTGAATGAATTGAAGTCTTTAGGGTCTTTCTGGTCTTTGCTTGGTGGTTCTAAAAATTATACCATATTCTAATTTAGTTTAATAATATGTTATTGCTTTTTTTATTCAATACAAAAACAGATATGTTGTCACATGCAAACATAAGAACAGTAACAAATGAATTTACAGTACATGGATGCTGTAGTTCATAAAAAGCAAAAGGGTTGGTCTACAAGTTTAAACAACATAAGAGAGTTGGCCCTTTCCATCTTCTAACCCTTCACCTGCTGAATTTTAATTAATCCTACCATGAGTTTAAAACAGTCCATTCTTAGATTAAGTGATTTCATTATAAAGATATATAAAAATAGCTATAAATAATTAACTCTCTCATCAGTCTGCATGGACTGAAGGCATAGGATACTTACTTCAAGCATAGGGTACACTCTCATCAGTCTGCATGCACTGAGGGACAATAACTTCAAGCATAGGGTACACTCTCATCAGTCTGCATGCACTGAGGGACAATAACTTCAAGCATAGGGTAATCAGTTCCAGCAGGTTAAAGGTAAATTATATTTCAGAACTGCTGGTTAATGGAACAAATGACAAATTATTTATTTTAAAATTTATCAGTATTATTAGTTACTTACCCTTGGGAGCCTCTTTGTTGCCTGACTCTGGTTTTTGTGCCTCTTTCTTTGCAGACTCTCCTTTTGCTGGTTCTTTAACTTCCGATGGTTTTTCTTTTCTAAATCTTTCAAAACCCTTTGGAGCCTTTCCTGACTTTAAGATGCCAAGGTCTTGTAGGACTGCTTGCAAATCTCTTCTTTTCATCCTCGACAGAATGTGGATACTGCGTCTCATCTAAATGTAATAATTATTTGTAATAAATAAACAAATAAATACCATGATACCAGCTAAGAATTCTGGATAATATAATTTTTTATTAAACAATGTTGGTTTGCCAAAATAAACAATTCTAGCAGAAACAGACAGTTTATGTAAACACATATTTGTACAAGACGAATATTTGAAACATGTTTTACATTACTGTAGAATTGCTTTAACAAATTTATGACTTTTAGTTCACCATTTTGAAATAGAAATTGCCAGACATGTAAATATAGCTAGGGAAGATAGAAAATGTAAGCAATAATATATGCTGAACCTTGTAGAAAACAAAATTATTTTTGTTTGTGTGTCCCATATATACTATGCACTAAGTAGGCAATATTTGAAACCATACTTTTGATGTTAACCCACATCACAAAAGCTAGTTCTATCTTCAACAAACTCCAAAACCTTATGTAACATGAATTCTGATTCTGTCAAAATATTTGTATTCTGCATTTAGAATATGGGATAGAATCAATTAAAATGTATGTATTACAACCCTACTGCATTTTTGTCTTACATTTACCACCACTTTCATTATGTTTGATATTTTTTTTTGTCAGCAATGAACATGTATTTATTTGATGCTGAATCAAAATTGTTGTTGTTGTTGTTGTATACAGTACTACTACATTACACTACAAAACTATTACAGTTAAAAATCAGAGTGACTCTGACGGACAGAAAATCATACCACATAATGGATATAAATTCAAGTGTGATAATTTTCAATTTAACTTAAAGGCCTATTATGCCTCTGGAATGCTACCCTTTATATATTTCTTAAAACTGTTTATTTTTGGTATCTTTTTAAAGTTTCCAAAAACATACACATCTGCTTGATACTCCAACTATCTATTGCATCTTTATTTCTGTTGGTAATGGGTATAATTATAGTGAATTAGTATTTTGTATAGAAGTCAAAATACTACTTTGTTTACATTTTGCTACCTTTATGACATATAAATCTATATTCAGCACTATTTTTTCAGCAAGACAAAGTTTAAAGTTGTAATCAAATGATTATTTAAGTATAGTCAGATAAATGAGCTGTGTCACAATAAAAAACCAACATAGTGGGTTTGCGACCAGCATGGATCCAGACCAGCCTGCGCATCCGTGCAGTCTGATCAGGATCCATGCTGTTCGCTATCAGTTTCTCAACTTGTAATAGGGTTTGTAAACGAACAGCATGGATCCTGATCAGTCTGCGCGGAGGCGCAGGCTGGTCTGGATCCATGCTGGTCGCAAACGCATTATGTTGGTTTTGTCATGGCGCGGCTCAAATATGAAACACAATTTTGAATTGGCATTATTTCTGTGACAAAGAAAAAACATTAACATTAAGATTCAGTCTTTGGTCAATAATGGGTCTGTAATTTCATGACAATTAAATTATAGAAAATAATTGTTATATTTAACTGCTAATTCTATTTACAAATATTTTGTACAAAGAAGAGGTATGATTCAAACATAAATTAATTACCTACAAATCTTTTCTAAATTACAAATATGCATACTGATTGGGACCCACCAAAACCAGACAAACGTCAAACCAGAACAGCACTGGAAATGCCTGATTTACATCCAAGATTTTATCTGGATTAAATCAACATCATGTACATATCTGTCCATACTCTTGGTACTGTAGTGTGTACAATTTAAGTAATTTTGATACCCTCCTCAGATGCAAGTGTAAACATTATCAGAAATAAACAGTTAAGTTCTTTGTTAGGAGAAAAACATAGCTGTACTGTGTCAAATTTCCATATCTCTAGCTTTAGCATAATGAAATCTGTATGGATAAAATTAGGGCCCTCAATCCGATTTGGGGGATTCCCGGGAAGTATGTAACTGTCTATGTAGCTACATTTAGCAGGGAGAATATCAGTGGATGGGGGATTTCCTTTTTGGTCTAATATCAATAAACTACCAATTGTATATCAGTATTTTTTTTTATTTGACTAACTATTGTGTAACATTTTGAGGACTAAAGTCTTCCCGGTGCATCCATACAAATATCGAACCATGTGAAACGGAAAACAGAATAAAATATTCTGCTGACAAAACACTGTGAAACAGATCAATATTTAATTATTATTAATTGTCAAAAACAGCATAACTTTTCGATTTTTCTTTTATCCTTTTGAGGGTGAATTTTTACCTGTATTTGGGTATGGCGTGTAACATACTATTTTGGTGGGGAACTGCGGCCGTATACATGTATCGGCCGCAGATTTGGTAGATCAAGGCCACTGGGCCCTGTAAATGTTCAAAAGTGTCTGGTTGATGGTCCTCGACCAGTGCATACTTGAATAAAACTCGTAAACCTCCACCCATATAAATGTGTAATTATCATCATTTCATAAGGAAAATAGAAAAATAAATTATGTTACAATATGTACTGTATAGATTTTATTACTGTATAGATTTTATTATTACCAGTAGTATAATTGACCTTTTCGAAAACCTAGCTAAACACCGTTTTCCGGTATGTTGTGGATTTAGCTCTGGGGAATTACACCAAATGAAGTACATAACACAGTTACATAATATTTCTATTTTTCTTTCATTATTGAAAGAAATTCATTTAAGGTGAAAAAAATTGATGTTTTTGAAAATTATCAATATTCCTTTAATATCTATTGCAAATTTTTGAAGAAAAAAAATTGGTTATAATGAAAATCAATAAAATTTAAATAGACGTAGTGGAATCTTCCATAATAAATAAGGTTATTTTCTGCGTAAACTTGTGTATTTACTTATTTTTTGTAAGATAAGATAAGATAATCTTTATTTATAGTCGGTTTCATAAAAACATATAAACATTAGCTATATAAGCTATTTTCCGACATAACTGACTATCCTATAACAAAACAAACAAACAATCTGTATAAAAGAAAAAATATAAAAGTATTAAGAAGATCAATGTACATTTCTGAAAGTCTCTGTAAAACAGTTAAGATTTATCAGCACATATAAATATGGGTAAGAAAGCATTAAATGATTAAAAGCAAATATAACACTACAATCAAACGTCACATAAAATTACATCATACAAGAATTCTATTTATTGTATGGAATTATTCATACAATGATATTCAATTATTTTCTTATAAAGAAATAACTGTTTTATTTCGATTTAATTTTAAAAAAGGCCAAAACATCGAGTTTGCTATTACACTCCATTAGGTGAATTGCCCAGAGCTATGTACAGAAAGTACCGGAAAAAGGCGTTTAGCTAGGTTTTCGAATTTGTGAATATGGGACCAGTTGATACTAAATTTGAATAACCGTTTGGGTGAGATGGCCTGCATGCCAAGCTAATTTTAGGGCGAGCTGACCACAAAACCAAAAATAAATGTAGACGGTCAAATTACAATAATTTAAATACAGTATGATGAAAGGAAGTGGCTAGCCGTACGGGCACGTACCGCTAGACAAAAGTTCTAGCCGTACGTGAGTCACGTACGACTAGCCTGGACACACTGTATTGGCTAGCCGTAAGGCACTTTTCAAAATTATATGGAAGTCGAAAATGCATATGTTATTTTGTGTCTTTAAACGACGATTTTAATCAAATCTCCGCATTTGTCCTAGTGTGTTCACTTTAATAAAGATGCTCCGCAATTTTGCACAAAAAAAATGAATACGAGTAAGCGTTGTATAATCTATCTTAATAAAATTAAGTGTCAAAGTTGCATGTTATAACGTCCTTAATTTTCATGCTTATGATTTGTATGAAAGATGAATTGTTAAATCTGTTAATTAAGCACATGGATCGAATAAATAATGATCGGAGGGGAATAAATAAATAAATAAAAAGAATATTAAAAAAAACGGTGAAAAGGAAAAATAATTTAATAATGCAAACTTTCCTTAATGATGGACGATGAACAAACTTCTATACCGTCGGTATTTGACGCAATTATCAGAGCCCGACAACAATTATTTTCGGTGGTTTTTTTTGTTGTTTTTTTATTTCAATTTAAAAATTAAACTTAATGAAACAAAAAATGATTATTATCAAAATTTTGTAAACTATTTCAATTGATGTTATTTAACTGCAACCAAACGCTATTTTTTCTCGACGTCTTGTGATGACAAAGTACGTACATTCTTTACTGTAGCCAACACGTCGATTAATCTCTAAAAGTAAACATTCTTGACAAAAATCCTCGCTTAAAGTCATAATTAACATATGCACTTTCGCCTTCCATATATTTTTGAAAAGTGCCGTACGGCTAGCCAATACAGTGTGTCCTGGCTAGTCGTACGTGACTCACGTACGGCTAGAACTTTTGGCTAGCCGTACGGGCCTGTACGGCTAGCCACTTCCATGATGAAATCAGATTTCAGTGTTGCATAACTACTTGCTTTATACATAGCTTCTAAAAAGATCAAATTTAATTGTAAACGATAACATAGTGCTTTCAATAAATTATGCCGACGGAATGGACTGATGAACAGTAATTGGACTGATGAACAGTAATGAAGTCTTGAGTTATACATGTTATATAAATACTGAAAATTTTGTTTTTAGCCGATGAAAAAAAAATAAAGGATTTTTTAGGAATAAAAAGATCAAACCTCAGATTGAATTGATCGTCTGGAAGATGAATTTTGTAGAATGCGCTCAATTCTTTGAGCTGCACGCAAAAAGTTACACGCCATATTTTGTTTCTTATTGCATTTATAACATATCAGATTCTCTTCTCGTCATTGAGAATACGAAAAGTCACGATTACTTAATCGAATGATAGCTGTCAAGCGATATATTCGTATTTGTTAAGTTGGAAAAAATGTATTTTGTAATTTAAAAGATGAATATTGAACACAATTTAGTCAATTTTATTTATATTTTAAGCAATAAATAATGTTAATTTATTGTTTAAACCAAAATATACAAAGAAATACATCAAGTCAGAATGATAATCGACGCAATAAAAAGCTAGGTACTATTTTCATTAAGGTCGGACTACACTATTGATTTTACCTAGGTGCTCTATTAAATGTGTATTGTACATCTCCTATTTTACCATAAATATGAACAAAAATACCCTAAATTGAGTATTGAACCAAAGATGTGATATTTTTTATAAGAATGATATGCATGGCACGTGGAAATTATCTCTTTACTACTTTCCAGTTCTGTTTGAAAGAAACGTTTTGAATCAAGTTATCATATATGACACTAAACCACAATTCTATTTCTAACCGTTTGGCTAGCTAAAGAGTCTTGTATATATAGGTGTCACGGTTCAGAACTGTTCACTAAATAGGGGAGAAAATGTGTAAGCGGCCGGATAGCTCAGTCGGTACAGCCGCGGTACGGTATTCCGAGGGTCCCGGGTTCTAGTCCCGGTCAGGCTGCACATTTTTCTCACCCTGTGACAAAGGTTTTATTGTATTGCTTGACCTGTTCAAAACGTCAAAATAAATGCGAAATTTAAAGTTATGGTAGCCAGAACTACGGTATGGCAAGCACTTTTTTCTCTACTCGGCAGTCCGTCACGTTCCGACTTTGCACATAGATCACATTCAAATCTCTAATGAACCCGGGTGCAGCTGTTCTGCGTGGCCAGGCACAGACACTTGGAGGGGGAGGAGTGGGGTCAAGACCAATCCCCCGTATGGAATCGCCCTTGTGAACAGTCAAAAACTTTTAACGCTTTTACACAGATGGAGAGGTATAAATTTATTTTTAAACCATTTCCGTAAGAATAAAAAAAATCCCATGTACATATATACCGTCAAGTATTTTTTTGAAACTTTACGATACATGTGATTTTTTATTCTTGTGGAAATCCCCAAGACTACCATAGACACCCCAGACTACCATATGACTACGCCAAGACACCCCAAACCCCAAAGACTACGTCAAGACACCCAAGACGATACGGTCTTAACGGTGCAATTTCACACGTACACATTGAATTATCTTCCTTCATTTATTTCCCTGTATTTTTTATTGTAAGATTATAAATATGAAATCTTTTTGTGCAAAATAGTTTACAACAATGAAAGAATGCCAGTGTTGCGGGATTCGGGTGTAGTACAAGTTTAATTCTGCGACAATGTCATTTTATGAGTGACACATTTTTGATGCCTGATGTTTCATAAAATTGATTTTTTTTTATTTCATCTGCCCCACATTTCATAAGATTAACATTATCTAATTGTTTCAGTAAAGCTAATTTTATTTTTTAATCAAAATATTTTTTTATATTAAAGAGCATATCAATAAATATTTTAATGATGAAAAAAGTCCATACATAATTAAAAATATTTGATGTATTGGACAGTATTAAGTAATTAATTAACAAGATGACACGTAAATAATCATAACCTTGTCGTTTAATAAAACTTTCCTAATTTATACCATATATAAGTATCTTGGGATAGTCCTGTGACTAAAAATGTGTATCTTTCTGTCAAAGAGTAGTCTTGGGGTAAATAGACCGACCCTGTGGAAATGGTTAAAAAAACAACAACAATTTAAAGATTAAGTCAGATGCCCCGTTTGTCTAATGACCGTTTACAAGGAGCAGCTCAACTCGGGGGTTAACTCACTTTCTATTTTTGTGCCTATTTAGCTAGTTATCCTATTTTTTATTTGCTTGTGAAATTTTCTCCAGAATAGCTCCAAGGTTACTTTTCCAAAGCTGGGACCGAGGTGAACGATATAGGCCTACACACACGTTATCGAATTTTCAGCATTTAAGGGTTCTCTTACTTTTGATATACAAAGGATATCTTTTATTAAAATTACGGGTACTCTCCATTCTAACTTTTTAAAATCGGTTGGGTAAATAACAAAGATATCTATTATATTTAAAAAATGCGCGTGTTCCATATCCGAAGGTCACGTGACCAGTATGACCGCAATGGTTTATTTGTTGATATTATTTATTCTCATAACTATTCATATAGATATGTATAAGACATTGGAAATTAAAGACTGTGTCTTGCTTATAATTATATTCTTTCTTTTATATATAGAGAGAGAGATTTTGGCATTGCGGCAGATCATACAACATCCATATTATACAGCTGTGCCAATGATCAAAATAAGATTGTAATGTGTAAACTGATAATTAACTGTAACTTTAAAACATTAGACAATAATTCAGAATACAGCATTGAACCATATACATATATATTTGTTTCTTTGTAATTTCTGTCGGTAAATAATTTAACAAAAGAATTCGCGTAAAACGGAAGGTAATCATTTCAAAATTTATTCCAAAGAAGAACATGATAGTGTCAATAAAAAGACCAACCCTTTGTATTTAACAAGTGAGCTTCGTAATTAATTGCAACTGTTAATGCGGTATTTAAACTTGTATGATGTTTGAAATGGACCAACATATGGGTCACATATCTGTACATACTTTGAATAATCGAACGAAAAGGTTGCATTTATTTTAATCCACCATCTTCTCAATATTGACACGCAATGGCACTGGTATAATATTACATAAAAGATTTGACCAAATTTAAGAATACGAAAAAAACTGATATGACACAATATCTGTAACTGTAGTGTTTTCTTCCTGATCCTTAGTAGAATCTTAGTTGAACGTACACTTGAACATTTTAATTTTTTATTAAACGCAACTGTCGTCGCTATAGAAAGATCGAGACTATTTAATTTTTCTTTTCTTTTATACTATTGGATAAAATTATAAAAAAAAATGTTCTACAATACGACTTTTTTATTAATAAAAAAAAACAAACAAAAAAAAACAAAAAAAACAAACAAAACAAAAAAACTTGGATATGAGAAAAAACATACTAATACATGTATATGTTTACCGGGGTTGTTTTCATTGAACTGATTATATTTTTTATTATTCTTAGCATGGAATAACTTATAACCCCGGAAAAGATTTATATGCACAAACACTTAAAATAACAACTTTCAGATATTGGTACATTGTATGTACATGTATTTTTATATACAATCGGATGAATTCTGATATATACCTATTGTATAATTAAATATTATATTGTATCATTCATGTTATAGACCTGCTTTTTATACCGGACACTATTATAGCTACAAAATATTGTTAAACCTCATGCTGTGTACTTTGATATACCTGAGTGAAATAAAGTTATCTGTCTGTCTGTCTGTCTGTCTGTCTGTCTGTCTATTATCTATACACGGACTAAGCGTGTTTCACGGTTTATAGCGCGTACGTGGCCTAAAAAGCGGATGATGAAATAACCTAGTATACTTTCATATTTTGGTATAATCTAATCTATTTATAGATATTTTTGTTTACAAAACTTAAAAGCCACGTGTAAATGTAAATAACACGGCATCATTTAGATATAGACTATAGTATAAATATGGGCAGTGAGAATAATAAGCTCATAACTTAATTTGAAAATATAACTAAAATAAATGTCACCGTAAGAGGATCTGCACAGAGAAGTCGTCTGCTAAAATACAGAGAAAACAAGTTAGAACGTACACTCGTGCTATATTGTACTACTGGAATTCTTAAAAGGTAATAAAAGTTGATTTATAATTAATCATGTTTACAAAGAATTTGAACATATCACTGTTAAAATGATACCGTAATCTAGTATAGGCATCAAGTTCATTATAACAAAACTTTTATTTATAACAAAATTTTTATTTATAACTAATCAAGTTCATTATAACAAAACTTTTATTTATAACTAATCAAGTTCATTATAACAAAACTTTTATTTATAACTAATCAAGTTCATTATAATAAAACTTTTATTTATAACAAAACTTTTATTTATAACTAATCAAGTTCATTATAACAAAACTTTTATTTATAACTAATCAAGTTTCATTGAAATTAATTTTGTACCTTTATTTTATTATTATTATTATTATTATTATTATTATTATTATTATTATTATTATTATCATGTTGTTGTTGTTTGGATGTTGCTACTAATGTTGAATATTGTTTTGTTTCAAATTGCTTGATTATGTTTTTTTTCCCAGTATTATTGATATAAAACCGGATAGGAAGCAATGGCGAGAAACATGCTAAAAATGTTATTGTTTATGGGTGCTGCCTTCAGTACAATGGCAGAGAGCTCGGGCGATAATTACGGTACAGTGATAGGAATTGATCTGGGGACCACATATTCATGGTCAGTGTTCTATAAGGTGTTTAATCAGACATATACATGGTACATGTAGTTTAAGCAGTTTATTGTTTAACACTGTCAAGAAAGACTCAAGAAAATCACTTTTCTTTACTTTAACTCGGTATGCACCTGGAACTTTACTTATTCACTTTCATAGATATATATTACTCAGTGAACAAATACGTAGATCTAGAAGACAAATTCGATTGATAAGTAAAGATGTAGTTCTTAATTTCACAGAAAAATATATATAAACTTATATATATATTACAGTGTTGGCGTATACCAAAAAGGTGGAGTTGAAATCATTGCGAACGATCAAGGGAACAGAATAACACCGTCTTATGTCGCTTTTACTGAAGACGGAGAACGTCTTATAGGGGACGCAGCTAAAAATCAACTAACGTCAAATCCTTCCAATACTATATTTGATGTAAAACGGTTCATAGGACGGACCTGGGACGACCCGGTAGTGCAGAGGGACATGAAGTACTATCCTTTCAAAATCGTTAATGTAAATAATAAACCACATGCACAGATAAAATCTGGGTCTGACGTCAAGATATTTTCACCGGAAGAGATTTCCGCCATGGTTCTGAGAGAGATGAAGAAAACTGCTGAGTCATACCTCGGACATAACGTCACTCATGCGGTCGTTACCGTGCCTGCGTATTTTAATGATGCCCAAAGACGTGCTACAGAGGATGCCGGTAGAATTGCTGGACTGAACGTATTGAGAATTCTAAATGAACCGTGAGTGTATTTTATTTATAACAATTTACGTTTCAATGAAATATTAGTTGAAATACGTTCAATTTATAATATTTATTTTTGCATCGTGATTATATGTACACAATCGTCTTTTCTTATCGGCAATATTATTTTATTATGTTACGTATTTCTTCTGGTTTTATCATGTTTAGAATTTCTAAATATTAAACTCTTATAACTGTTCTCTTATATATACTCGGATTTATTCCAGAACCGCAGCAGCCCTTGCCTATGGCTTAGACAAGAGAAGTGAAGATGAACATAATATTCTTGTTTTTGATCTTGGAGGCGGCACCTTTGATGTTTCATTACTTACCATTGACAATGGGGTTTTCGAGGTACTTGCCACAAACGGTGACACTCATCTAGGCGGAGAAGATTTCGATCAAACGGTAATGGACTATTACATCAAGCTGATAAAGAAGAAAACAGGACGTGATATTCGAAAAGATTTACGTGCAGTGCAAAAGTTGCGCCGAGAAGTAGAGAAAGGAAAACGTGCATTGTCCTCTTCTCACCAGACAGTTATAGAGGTTGAGTCTCTCTTTGAAGGAAACGACTTCCGAGAAACACTAACAAGAGCCAAGTTTGAAGAACTCAATAACGTAAGTCAGTTTACAAAACACTTTTTTTCTGTTGAAATTAATACACCTTTATAAAATGTCACATTTAAGAAGAAATTGAATGTGTTTTCTCTGGACCTTTATAACATAGTCTGCGTTGTGCTGTGACACAATGCAAATTTACTGTTGTTGAAATTCATGGTTGTTATTGGTGTTATTTACAGGAGTTGTTCCGTTCCACGTTATCTCCGGTAGAGAAAGTACTAAAGGATGGAGATGTGAAACCGTCGGAAGTAGATGAGATAGTTCTAGTAGGAGGATCTACAAGAATTCCAAAAATACAACAACTTGTGAAAGAATTCTTCGCTGGAAAGGTAAAACTTAAAGTAAATCTATTTACTAATAAAGAAACATTCTAACATTCGCCAGATATATACTTGTACAGTTTAATGTTCAATGCTATAAATTATATTCAGTGTTCGAATGCAATCGAATCGAATGCAAAGAGGCACACTCATTTTCCACCATTATAACAATTGTTTTTTCTTTTAATAATCATGATAATCATTAAGTAATATTGTATAATAAGCACATAAGCTGCATATACACACTTAATAATATAAATTTTTGACATACTCTATCATTGAACAGGAACCAAACCGTGGAATTAATCCTGACGAATCTGTAGCTTACGGCGCAGCTGTTCAAGGTGGTATTCTAAGCGGCGTCGATGATGGCAACATTGACAACTTGATAGTTATTAACGTTAACCCTCTTACCCTTGGTATAGAGACGATGGGCGGGGTGATGACTAAACTGATTGAGAGAAACTCTCCAGTGCCGACCAGAAAGTCACAAATATTTTCAACAGCTGCAGACAATCAGCCCGCTGTATCTATTCAAGTATTTGAAGGTATACGAAACATTAAGTAAAATCTATCTTAATATACCAGTATTCAACATTATATAGTCAAAATGTTAAAATTAAGAAACGTTTATAAGTTTCAACGTTTTTGCACATTTTGTTTATAATGTCGATTTGATAAAAGACATGATTGATACAAATAGTTTACTCATATTTCAGGTGAAAGAACCATGACGAAAAATAATAATCTGCTTGGAAGGTTTGAGCTGACAGGTATTCCTCCTGCTCCAAGAGGTATTCCACAAATTGAAGTTACATTTGAGATTGACGCTAATGGTATATTAAGGGTGAGCGCTGAAGACAAAGGAACGGGACAGAAAAACGATATTGTCATTGAAAACAATCAAAATAGACTATCCGAGGAAGAAATTGAACGAATGATTAAGGACGCTGATAAATATGCAGAAGAAGATAAACTTCTGAAAGAAAAGGTAGATGCTCGAAATGAGCTTGAAAGCTATATATATTCGTTGAAAAATCAAATTAATGATTCAGATAAACTTGGCGGAAAGTTGTCAGCAGACGATAAAAGTGCTATAGAAAACGCGCTTAATACTGAAGCTGATTGGTTAGATAATAATATAGATGCTGATACAGACGATTACAAGGAACATAAAAAAGAACTAGACGATATTGTCCAACCTATTGTGAAACATTTGTATGAAAATACAGCAAACAGTTCTGATCGTGAAGAGTTGTAGTTAACAGTATATATATCGTCAATTTTAATTAATATAATCAAATTTATTACAGTAATTTGCTCATCTTGTTGTTTTGTTTTTTGCACAATTATGATACTACACTAGCATAATATACATATCCGTGCAGTTGCATTAGAACTGTTATCAACCAGTCCAAACGTGCAATGACTGACTGTGTGCCTGTAAAATATAAATGGAAATAATATGTATGGTCGTATGAATGTAAAATTGAATAGATGTGATTTTTAAAAAACAAACAAATATTTATGTATTTATTGTTATTTTTCATAAAAATGTGTTTTGTTTTGCTGTGACTAAACTGTTTAATTAATAAATCGTGATAAAAGTGTAATAACATGTTGTTATTTTCTTAAACGATACAATAAGGAATAAAAATACAATGTAAGTTTTCGCTGACAATGAATAAGGCTACAAGTAACGTTCAATTGGCGTATTAAAAGAATGGAATCTGAAAAATTCTTCTTAGAATTAAAAATGCCAAGAGTCTAGATATTTGGCATGTAGCATCACCATATGGTACTCTTCAAAGGTATAATATAATTGCAACCCGAGTGGAAATCTGCCTCAGCCAGAAGGGTCACTTAGTTAACATTGACTTGTATCGCAATATCTGCTTCTCTGTTACTAAATGTCCTAAAGCTTGAATAATTGACATAAAGGATTGCTTGACTTCTACAAAAGTTTTTGTATATTGTGTTTCATGTCCCTGGGGTTAAATGGCCCTTTTGTCCTAGTAATTAAGTCATGGACAACAGTGTTTAAATACAAAATACAAAACTGCCATTAAAAAAATACCGGTATTTAATAAGCCATTTCTGGGTGAACTTGCACAAAACCTGCATAACACCATTACACTGAACAAACAGGGACTAGTAAGACCACCTTGTAACACAATGCGGCCCATGCTCCAACGTCATTGCTACCTTATGTGACATTAAGTCAATGCTTCTCCTTTTCAAAGTATCAACTTTGTGAGGGATGATACACTTTTGATGTCAAGTCACCTTCTTTTAAAAGACAAACACAAATTGTCTGTTGAAATTCTCGGCACATTCAATGTTTTACAGCCTAAAATTTCTTAATTACTTCAAACTTGGATGTCTGTCTTCATTAATGTTTTCAATTGTATCCACTGTTCATAATTGCTTGACTACCGGCATCCCAGTTTTCTCTTGTCTCTTATGTCTCGCCATTTACTTAAGATTTAGCCATACAGCGTCAAACAAATGGTAAATGTTACATTAGGCAGATTTCATACGTTATTGACCAATTCCTCTGTTTTTAAGATTATGTGTTAGGTTTGGCAAACGACCACAAACTTTAACCTTGATCATAACTTTTAAGTTGTTGGTGTATTGTCTTCATTCTTGGCCACAACGACCATAGGGACAAGGTATTCAAGAAGACCAGACTAACATTGACCTTTATTTATTTATAATATTTATTGATCAATCAAATGTCAAAATTTTACTTTTTTGCGATTATTTTTGGTATTTGTGACTATTACATTATCATTCTTGAATGGATTGTCTTCAAACTTGAACATAATAATATTTTAGGATAGGCTTTCAAGTTGTCCAGACAGACCTTGATTTCACTTATAAATGACAATGACCTTGAAGGTCAAATTATTGATTTTTTTGCTGTAACTGGCTATAACTTTGTTATTTATAAATGGATTGACTCCATATATTATAACACAACATTTGACATTTGATTCATACATGGACAAAAGAAACAGACATGTGGGATATTTAAATATGACCTTAACCGTCAGATGATTGAATTTTCATTATATTTTCTTAACTGTGTCATTTATTTATGGAAAGGATTCATACTTGGACCAGACAGCTAGCGTGACTAGACAGACCTGTTAAAAGTTAAAAAGTTTTCTTTAATTTTAATTTAAAGATTTGTTTTTACATTTTTTGTTTGATTTTAGAAAAAGTAAAGAAGTCGGGCGTTGTTCCCGCCCGGTGATGGGTCTTGTTACATTTTCCGATATTTTTTTGTAAAATGAAGTTTTGCTTTCAGAGTCGACATTTTACTGCTCATTCTTACGAACAGCTGGCTTATCATGGAATGTGCATGAAACCAAGCAAAACATTTTACTTGGTCTTCAGAAATTTAGCACATTTAAGATAAGTATTCTTATTGTTATTATATGACTATACCCCTAGCAGACCTATTAAAACAGTCTTGTATCGCCCTTTTATATTTTAATAGATAAAGTAATAATATTTAACATTCTCGAATGAAACTTTTGGAGCTATTCAACGTTGAATTTGTGGCATGATCAAATAAATAACCTTAAACTCCCGCATGTTTCTTTCGAGAACCGTACCTTATTTACAGTACCAGTGACTATAGTTAATTATAGTTTTTCGAAAGCGAATGTTATAGCTCGCTACTTATCTTATTTTCGTTGTCCAGAAGATGATGGAACTCTATCATTTCTTATATAATGTCTGGCATATCCCCACCACCAAAAATAAATAAATAAAATCAACGGTCTTAGAGCTTTGAATGTGAATAAGGAAAAACGTTATTCATATAACATTGACGCAATTGTTTCAATGTTGATCGACGAAATAGATTTTAGTAAAATATGACTCTCTATAAGAGCTCGAATATTCTGTGAGAATAAAATTTGCTCTTAAAGCGAATAGGCCATGTAAATTTTTTCTAAGCAGCATGCCTCCAGATGAGCCAAAATATTTCAAAAAATTGAAACTTGAGTAAAATGTACTGAGATTTAAGGAAAAGAAGACAAATTCAGGAGTCAAGTAATGAGCGATTAATGGTTAATGTTTCATTATGTATAACTATATTTCCACTGCGTTAATACTAACGCATTAAGGGCAAGCTTTGCATATTTTGACATATTTTTGCAATTAAATTGGGTTGCAAGTGCCTTTGATAATGTAAAATTTGCTTCCTTTTGGTTACTTTACAATATTTAACTTTTAATTACATTTTCAAAATTTTCATGAAAATATTAAAGCATTAATCTGGAGGCCTGCTGCGTTTATTAATTTATCTGTTGTTTACACTTTATCATCGTTTTTATAAGTCTGATACAGTTACTTGCATTTTCTTCGAAAAAGACAGTTCGCTAGTACAAACAAACATTTGTTGCTCATCATAGCAAACTGTCTTTTTCCGAGAAAAACTTGTTCTGTATCCATTACGTTCACATGTACCTTCGAACTAATCTTTCGCGGTCAATATTATATGCTTTTGTTTAACGCTTAATAAAAAATCAAATATCTCTGGATATTTTTAATATAAATTCAGGTAAATAAGATTTGAGTAACTTCTTTTAATAGACTGTAAATCTTAGGTTTTTGTTGGTACTATTTAATGGCATTTCATAGTTGTATCCTTTTAAATTTTTCATTCGCAGGCAGAGGCATATACTGTTATCATAAAATGAATATTTAGCAGATATATGGTGCTTGTTGTAATTTTAGATTAGGATTGAGATAGTAATTACAGTTTATAAGTGGTGACAAAAATTAGTTAGATGTACATGTATACATGACCATTTCAGCTGTATTGCACACATGTCTTTATATGTATACATGGGAATGTACAATGCAGGTCGTGGACCTGATTTTCTTACATCAACAGTCGCGGGTACTGTACAAAATACACAATTTGTTGTACCCGGTACGTTATACAGGGATTCGCCTTCGGAACGGTAAAGAGCAGATAGAGCAGAACAGAATGGCGTAAAAAACCAGTTGGATGACTTTTAGGGCGTAAGTTTGTTTTCTTTTAATTCGACATTTCAATTCTTGTTTCATGTAGAGAAAGTACATTATTGATCAGACCTCGGAAGATATATGTCCCTCAGCTGCGCTACGGGCCATATACCTTTCTCTGTCTGTCTGACCAACCAGTCCGTAAACTTGCATATTGCCCTCAAGGCCATGTTTTATTTGTTAAATATGGAATAACGGTAAGATACCGAAAAACCGAAATATACTGAAAAACCGAAAGATACCGCAAAACCGGAAGATTCCGAAAGGTAGATAAATTCTCTTAAAAACATCAGCAAAGAAGGAATTATACATTTCATGCTAACTTACTGCATATTTTTACACTGAGGGCCTATAGTGATTATGGTGTTTATCCTTTCGATTAAAATCGATCCGAAGTAGCCCATACCCGCACACCGTCATCTTATTGTTAACGGTTCTAAGTTGGCTTAGTTTCCTTCCATCGATTCAGAATATACAGAGCTGAAAAACCGAAGGACGGCCAGATGCATAACATACGGTTGTAGAAAAACCTTCTAATACACCTGAAATAATTATTAATGTAAGCAGTGTTCAAGAGCTTTTCCCATTATAAATATTTCCATAAGAATTAGAAACTACATTAAATCTTCCATAACACACAGGTCTTATAACAAAAAGGAAGTAATTGTAAAAAAAACAATAGTTAGTGATAAAACAACAACAACAATCTAGACTGTATTGCTGTTTTTAGCTCAAAGGGTATTCATCCGAGTTATTTATATTTAATCGACTATTTACAATTCATAATTTTCATTAAAATCTTGAAAGTGTTGGATACTTTTATATACAGAATATTGTTCATTGTTTTAAGCAATGTTTGAGAACTACTTTGTCTTGTACGAAGGTTGTTCCAAAATAAATGTTACTTTTATGTTTTCTCTTTGATATAAGTCGTTAAGATCATTTTAACTTCCCCTGTCCCTCAAAGTACTTCCCCTTTACTTTAAAGCACGTTTTCTGCCGATCAATCCACTTTTTGAAACAGTTTCCGTACTCTTCAATGGGTATACTCATAAGATACTGATAAATGACAGAGCCCAGAGCATTTCTTGATTTGCATTTTTTTTTCCAGACAGGTGAAATTTTAGTTTGAGGAACAAGAAATAGTCACAGGGGCTAGGTCTGGCGCATTGTCATGCAAGAGTCTGAGGTACTTCAAACCTGTTTGTGGGCGGCGGCGTTTATAGTGTTTCTTACGTTTGCGAAGTACAACGTCTCTATAGTAATTGCCTGTGCCAGTTCTACCTTTCGGCACAGGAGTTTGCACGACTGGGACCTCTTTATCAAAGAAAGTTACATACAAAACCTCTCTCACCGTCTGTATTCTTTTAGCAATGTTAGGGCCCTTTGCGTTTTGGTGGCGCAGATTTGGTAAGAGCATTTACTTACTAAGCCCAAGATGTTTCTTCAAAATGCAATGAGCAAGTTTGTCATTCTAGCTAACTGCCTGACAGTGTACCTTGCGTCTTTCTTCAGGATTTGTCGAATTCTTTCAATGTTATGTTTTGTCGTTGTTGTTGCAGGGCGG